ATGGGGACGGCCCTGGAATCTGATTACAAGTGTTAAGGGTTCACGGGTAGCGGGACTCCTATGGATCCGCATGGATACTAGTAGGCTGATGAATGAGTAAAAATATGTTGTGTAATGATTGAATTGCAAAGATGTGATAAGTATTATGTTATACAGCTCATATGATTTCATGATAATGATAATGTTATTGCTTTCGTATATTGTTTTATGAATTTTACCGAGGTAAGTAGATAGTAAAGGATTTTATTATTGATAAAAAAATTTGTTGTAAATTATGCTCCATTAGTCTTTTTGTGTTTTCTACCCACCTTTACCTCCGTGACGGTGAGATAGTGTGATGTCTTTACTGGGCTGGTGTAGTTCATTCCTTATTTAATCATTTCAGATCAGGAAGACATTGTTCCCGAGCTCGTTCCGCAGGAAGACGGCGAAGGGAACGCCTGAAGACTCCGTAGTTATATTTATAGCTTTTATTTTCGAGTTTCTCTTTTAGTTAGTTCGTTCTTTTATACTTTGAGCACGTTTTTGGTTTTAGTGTAAGGGATGTTAATCAAATTTTTATTTCGATTCCGCATTTGACCTTTTTAATACACATATTTCATTTTAAAAATTCTGGGGCCGTTACAGTTATAGTCTTCAAATTATAAGTAGTCAATCGTTTATATTATGATATTCTATTATAAAAAATATAAAGAGTGAAAAAATTCAAATGGACTACATGCTAATTTGAAAGACCAACTACATGACGTGTTATTCTTTTACATCATGACTGATTCAGATATGCTTTCGATTTAAATTACATTATTGATAGTTTAATATGAGTTTCAAAATTTATTTCACAATTTATTTTGTAAATAGTAAATTACCAAACATTAACCGAACAATTTATTTGATTCAGATATTTACGAGTAAGAAGTATTGATTTTTTTTTTTTTCAAATATGTTTTGAGAGGAGATGAAAAGCTGAAAATATTTAAAATTTTTCATATTAAGAAAAATAAAATCTTATATTGTGTATCAACTAGTTTGTTTTTAAGTTAATACTTAATTATTTAAATTAAATGTAATATCCAGACCCGAAATTTGATTCAGATTATTTTAAATTAAAAAATATATG